GCCCCCGCCCGGGGCGCCGGCGCGCAGGTGGAGCCCGAGCCGCGCGGGGAAGCATCGCTCTCGGCGCCGCGGCATGCTGGGCGGCGCAGCCGGCCAAGCGCTGCAAAGGTGAGCGCGCCCTCCGGACCGGCCCGCAGCGCCGCCCGCCCGTCCGCCCGCCGGCGGGGCAACATGGCCAGCGCCGAGGTCGCCCTGCTCACGCTCGGTAAGTGCGCCCGCCCGCCCGGTCCGGAGAGGAGCGGCCGGCGGGAGCCTCGGCGAAGTTCCCCGGGAGTCGCCGCCGCCGCCGCCGGCCGCGCAGCCAGCCTCCCGCTCCCGTCGGTCCCTGCTCGGGCCGGGGCTGACCGGCCGGGGCTGCGGGGCGGGCGGGTCCTGAGCCTGCCCGAACGGTCAGCCGCCTCGCTCCTGCCCCGCGCCGAGACCCGGGAGAGAGCCGGCTGGTCGGCGCGGCCGGAGCAGCCAGGCGGGGGGAAGAAGAGCTGGGGAGACCTGCCGGGACCCACGGACGGGGAGCAGGCTGAGAAACCTCCTCCTTAATGAGGACTGCCTGCTTTTCTGTAAAGAAAGGGAATGCCGCGTTAAAAGCCATCCCAGCCTTCTGCAACCTGGAGCCCTCCGTAGCCAACCGGAATTCTGGGAATTGTGGGCACCAAGTTGGCTTCTAGGTGAATTATAACTATTTACCTTTCGTTTCGGTCTGTTTGTGCTTCCTGTCCTTTGTTCCTCTGTGCGTTCGTTCGTGTGTGTTTTCTCCCTGCGGATCCTCCTTTCATTGAACCATTTGAAACTGGAGTGTGTTTTGACCCTGATGATCCTCTGATTGTCTCCTAGTAATCTTTTTTTTCCCTTTAAAAAGAAAAGGCAAATATTTTCTAGGGTGACTTTGCAAGCCAGGGAGTGTTCCTTTTTTAATTGCCTAGCATTGCTACAATACAATCTAGATTGTTTTTGTCCAGGCTAATTATTATTTTTTAAATGTGAGATAGCTAGATAATTACAGAGGTACTATTTTGGGAAATTTGACAGATAATTGAGAGCTCCTCACTCCACTCTTTAAAAAGCAATACTTGCTTTCAGGGGTGAGTTTTTGAGGGCAAAACTCTGGCATGGAGGGAAGATGGCTTCAGAAGTTACAGTTGGAACCCCCAGTATCCCAGTCGACAAGCGTGCCGGCCGTCTCTGTCCCTAAAATCCTCTTGCACAGTTGGCACGTGCTTTCAAGGCTTACGCCTGGCAATGTTGTCCAGGTCAACCGCATCTCTGGGGCACCCATAATACGCTCCAGCTGGGCAGCTGGGAAGCACGAGGTTTCAAAAACAACCCAGACTGCATTGGAAAATTTTTCTGAGCAGAAAATCTGAACACACTGTCTACCTTCAGGGACTCTGGATGGTCGGGGACCCTGTGCCTCCACTTGCGCCGGCTGGAAATTCTGGGCATTACGATCCCAACTGAGTTTGAGAGCACCAGGTTGGGGGAGGGCTTCTGGATTATGGGCTTGGCTCTGGTGGAGCTCCAGAAAGTGCCCTGACTGTTTCTTGATAGCTCTGTTCTGGGCACACTGTTCTTTCAGGGTTTGGGTTTGGGTTTTTTTTACATTTTTGTGTCAAGAAACTCTAGGACTTCCTTGCTTACAATTTGGAAACTTCTCCCTTAACGAGCTTTCAACAAAAATAGATTTGCACTGAGTCACTGAAATGATGCCATTCTTGCACATGACATAGGAGAGTAATGTAATTCAGAAATTCCTGCTCCTGGCCCCAAGGCACCCTCATTAAGCATCCCTAATGCAGATTTATCAGCCTGCTTGCTTCCTAAGTGCCTGGAATTAGTGGGAACTACTTTTGAGTAAACACATTTCAGGTCTAGCTGCAAAATTACAGGCTTGAGAAGGCTGCTTTGTTTACTTACCCTGAGCATGGCTGCGCATGGACGGAGCACAGCTCTCAGACAAGAATTGGGGAGCGTGGTAACGCTGAAGAGCCCAGCCCCTGTGAGAATGCCTTCTGCCCATGTCCCCCCAGCAAGCAAGCTGCTTGTGAACGTCCACGCATTTTGAGAGAGCTGTCTGAGGAAGCCAGGCCGCTCTGAGGAAGCCAGGCCGTTGTCTTCCAGAGGAGGTTGATGTGTTTGGAGCAGTGCTAATCTTGATTAAAATGAAGCTGGTCTAGCTCTGGAATTCAGGAATGTTTGGGTGCCAGAGTAGTTTTCAGATGTACGTATAGACCAGCTCCAAGTTGGCCCATCGCTGGGTCTCGTGCTTTGGACCTGAGACAAGGTTCACTTGGGATTCTTCAAACATTTCACGTATTTGAAAACTAATATTTCCAGAGAGTGTCAGTATATTCTGTGGGAAGAACTGCAAGTACTTTGAACACCATTGTCCCCCTGAGCAGATAACCACCTGTTACAATAGATTAAGTCACATGTCTTTACTGTTTGGGTGTAATTCTTAGGTGGTGCGATTATCAAGTGCGTGTTTTTCTCAAGTTAGAATTGCTAAATAGTTTCATAAAGAGGATGCACCTTAAGTAGAGGGAGCAAGGCATTCATCTAATATTACAGGGCCAGTTCTGGAAATAGGTTACCTGCTTGCGTCCTGAAAATGCCTTGGGTGAGCAAGAAGCTGGATGATAGCCAAGGAGGGCCTCCCTTTCGGCCACCAGAGCATCCTGGGTCATCAGCGCAGCCACAGGGTCAGAGTGCCAAAAGCTTGGTACGTGGCCTCTTTGTACTGCCTCAAAGTGGGGAGGGGGTCCAAAAAGTGAGGATGGTCATGCTGCACACATGATGCCTGTAAAAAAGGGGTGGGGTTTCAGTTGCACAGTTGTGGACACCATCTTGACTTTTTTGACTCTCCCTGCAGATGCCTTGCCTAGAAGGTATTGTACTTTGAAATGGCCTCTTGTATGTGTGCATTGATAATACAAGTGGGATTAGCAACCATTCCTAAGATTTTCAGGGTTTGCCTATGGTACATATGTTTTTCAAAACCTATTGGGGGGCCCTTGCATGGCAGCAGTTTTCTTACTAGCTAGGTTTACACAGCAAGCTTAACTTGGTTATTGAGTTAACCCAGCTCCTGGATCAGCCCAGCATGTGGGAGCATGGACTAACAAACAGTTTGGGTCCACCCCACAATCTCAGCCACAAGGAAAACTAACCAAGCCTGGGATGATGTGGAACGGCTTGAACCAGGCAGGTGTGGCCAAACCCGACTTCCTCTGATGTCTGTGTTAAAAACATCTGCTTTGCTCTGTTCACACGTATGTGTGTTTTGGTGCACAAAGGAAAGATCTTGGTATGTCCCAGAACACCCTTGTTCTGGCTGGTGTTTTTTATGTTGGAGAGAAAAAGGAAGTGAGCAAGTCCACCCAAACAAATGTATTGATCGGCAATTAATACTGTCAATTTTTACGCCTCCTTTACTGAGACTGTTGAGGCTATGAATAACTTTCAGACACAGCTGCTCAGGGGAAACCATCTTTTCCCTGCTTCTTCTGTTGGGGCCATGTGCTTAAATTGTTTCTAGCAAAACACAAATTTTGATCAGAACATAGACATAAGCTGTTTCACTCCTTGATGATTTTTCCTGGTAAAACCGATTTTAAAAGGTCACAATGCTATGTTACTTTGAATTAAAAGTTATGCTTGTTGGCCAATAACCCTGGGAGAGAGTCACCTGAACAACAGCCATTTCCTAAAAAGAGACACCTCAGGGTCTAAGTTGAAAGAACCTCCCCGGCAGATCAATAACATGACAGTCTCTGACCCGTGATTTGCAAAAGGAAAATGGGCCATTGGGGGGGGAAAAGCCAATTCAGGCAGGGTCTAGAGTTATGGTAATTCCTCCTGTTGTTTGGTGTTATCACCTTCGTTTTCATAACCTTTTTTCCATGTCAGTTTGCTGGGCCTCCTAGAATGAGAGTGGGCAACCTTTTGAGGTAGCCCACTATGTATTTATTTATTTATTCGTGGTTATCAAAAGAGGAAGGGCTGACATTTTGGTCCGCTTTGGGGAGATGGTTGAACGTCAAGTTAGATATATTAGATCTACCCAAAGAGACTCAACATACTTTTAGGGATTATTTTATGAAAAAGGACACTGTAGAAAATTGTAGTTGGCTGCCCAGTGTCAGCCCTGTGGTTTGGCTGTGGTTCTGGAGATTGCTGTAGTGCAGTGTTGTCCAAACTTGGCCACTTTAAGATGAGTGGACTTCAACTCCCAGAGTTCCCCACTCCCCCCCCCCCCTCGTGCGGGTCGCTGCGGAGTAGGTCCCCCCCTCCCTAATAGGGCTCTGTGGGGAAAACACAATTTGGTTGTGGCTGAGGGGCGG